GTCATGCACACCTCAGGGTTGTCTTTTCCTTCTACCTTTCATGGCTCACAGTTCAGTTAATTTCACTGAGGGCAATCTCTCTTCCTCTGTGTGTGTGTGTGTGTCTATGTATATATGTATGTATATGTGCATATGTGTGTATATGGGTATGTATATGTACGTGTATATACATATATATGTACTTATACATACGTGTGTATACATATGTATATATGTATATATAAATCTTCTCTTTCCTCTCTGTTTTCTGGTTCTTGCCCAATTAGTTATCTTGGGAAAAACCTTTCCTCCCTCTGTCTGCCTCTGTTCTATTTGACCTTAATTAAGGCCAAGAAAGCTAAAAAAAAAAAAAAAAGCTAGCAGTACTCCCTGGGCCATGGGAAATGAATGCCATCAATTTCAAGGCAGAATTAAACAAGGAGGGAAAACAGTGAGGCCCATCTCCAAAGCCCTGGAAAGTGCTCAAGGATCCTCCTTAGCATAGTTCCCGTAGTCCCTCCTTCCATCTGCCTTTTCATTTTCTGTAAAGTAAGTGTTCTTCCCCTCCAGCACTGAAGATAAATAAACTTTTAATCAACTCTATTGTTTTTATTATTTTTTCTTTATTTAATAACTTGTACTGCAGCAATGTTGGTTGGGGGCTATATTCATTGTAAATATCTTTTGACTTGAAAAATTCAAGGAACTGTAACTCCTATTCCTTTAGGGATCGAACAGGACTTGGTGAGATGGCTTAAGCATCTAGTAATAATATTATTTCTATGGGAAAGAGTGTTGCCAGTGTCAAATGTAGCTTATGATAACTTAAGGGCTACCTGTACCTGGAAAGCTAGAACTTCAGGTGAGAGGAAATGGTCCTTCTTAGGTCTGAATCATTAAAAGAAACATGGTTGGAATCTTAATCTTGTGGGTATTTCATACTCTGTAGGATCATGTCCTCCTAAGGGTCTGAGTAGAATAATGGAACCTCCTGGATAATGGGTTCATATTTGAGATTTTTCTTTTTCAAAGGACAATAGATTTAGAGCTGAAAGAGACCTCAGAGGTCATCTAGTCTACCTCCTTCAATTTATTGATGAGGAAGCCTGGAGAAGTAACATGATTTGCCCAATTGGGGTCATACAGGTTGTAAGTGACAGAGCTTGCTTTTAAGGCCAGCTCCTGGGAATTCAGATCCTGTTTTCTTCCCACTATTCCAGAGTGGCCTTTCTTTTAGTTAGTTATGGTTTTCTAATTTAAAAGGAGCATTGGAGGTTGTGGTCCTGCTTTAGTGGTAATGTGGAAGATGAATTGGAAAGGGGAGAGATTGGAAGGAAGACTAATTTTAAGGCTTACTCGACAGTCCAGCTTGAGAGGAGACCAGGAACTGAACAGGGCAGGGTGGGATGTGTTGAGATAGAAGTAGGTGGATGCCAGAAATATTGAGGATGTAGAATCCACAAGACTTGGCAACTGATTAGATATGGTGGGTGAAAGAGAAGAGTAGAGGCTGACTTCTAGGTTATAAACCCTGGTCACGAGAAGAATGATGGCACACCTGACAAAAATAAGGAAGCTAGGAAGAGGGGTGGATTTAGAGGAGGAAATAATGGATTTTGTTTGGGTCACATTGTGTTCAAAGTGCTTCTGAGACATTTAAGTAGGGATATCAGGTAGGCTGTTGAAACTTGGAATTGGAGATCAGGAGAAAAATGGCCAATGGATATGTAAACTGACTTTTGTCAAAATAATAATTGAGGGGCATCTAGGTAGTAAAATGGATAAAGCATCAGCCCAGGAGTCAGGAGGATCTGAGTTCAAATCCAGCCTCAAACTAGATACTTGACACTTACTAGCTGTATGACCCTGGGGCAAGTCACTTAATCTCAATTGCCTTGCCAAAAAGAAAAGAAAAGAAAAGAAAGATATAATAATTCAATTCACAGGAGCTGATGAGATAACCAAGGAAGATAATGTAGAGACAAAAGGGCCCAGGACAGAGCTCTAGGGTTATCAAGCATGGAGTAGGGGACATGGTTGCTGTTATGGCAAAGAACAGTGACAAGTAGAAAGAGCCATGACCAAGAATTGTCATTAAAAACCCAGGGAGAAGAGAACTTACAAGAGATTATCAACAAAGCAAGCTTTTCTTTTATCATGGAGGAAACGGAGGAAAGTTGAAGGCTTTTGAGCAGGGGAGGACCAAGTGAGACCTTTCTTACTGGACACAGGTGGTTTTAGTGCCTGTGTGAAGGATGGATTGGTGAGAGGAATGGAGCAAGGAAGCCAGTGAGAAGGCTTTTACTATGGTCTAGTTAAGCAGTGATATAGTGATTTAATCATAATGGGTCCTTGATAAATGTTTCTTGAATTGTTGAAAGTGCTAACAGTCTTAAGATAGCTCTGGGAGTAGAGAGAAGGGAGAAGATAGAAAAGATGTAGTGAAGAATTGACTAGAGATTGGATATGGGTAAAGTGTAGATAAGGAAAGCTGAGTCTGAGGGTTCAAGCACGGATGGATGAGAGGATGGTTAAGTTAGGAGGAGAGGCAGGTTTGGGTGGGTTGGGGAAGAGTTTCAAGAGGGGAGAGAGATGAGTTCAATTTTGGACACATTTAATTTAAGGTGCTAGAGTAAGCCAGCCAGGTGGATATACTTAACAGAAAATTGGGGATAAGGCCCTACAGTTCAGAGGAGAGATTAGGCCTGGATACACAAATGTTGGGGTCAGTGAAGATGTGATGATGGAATCTATGATTGTGGATGAGATCAGAAAGAAGGAGTAGGACAGACTCCTGAGAGGGACACTGATGCTTAAGGCCTGGGGCAGGGGGTAGGGGAAGGAAGGGAAGAGGATGAAAAAGCAAAAAGGACAGAGGAGATAGGAGGAGAATCAGAAGACACTGTAATGGAAGCTAAGTCAGGAAGGTAACTAGGAGGAGAATGGTGGTCATCAGTGTCAAAAACTGCAGAGAGGTCAAGGAAGGGGAGATCTGAGAAAAGGCCACTGGATTTAGCAGTTAAACTGTTGTTGGTAACCTTTGAGTAGATTCAACAGAGGAGTGGGATTACAAGGGATTTAGGCATAAACAAGTAGTGACATAGGTTGACCTTGGTGGGGATGGGGGGAGCTCTGCCTTTATTTTCTGTGTGTTTTAAAGATTTTAAAAATGATACCCTTGGATTCTAATCAATCTCTTTTCCTTGGAGAAGGATGGGAGGGTTGGGGGAGGAAGGGAAGGTATCTGATAACACATCAATCTGAGCACCTGATTGTCAAGAGCTAAGCAAACAGTTCAACCAGGGAAAGATGCTCATTGTTTACTGGCCCTAAGATGTCTGCTATCTCATCTCTATTAATGAGGAGCAGAAGCTAAGTGAAATGAGGGAATAGGGAAGGCATGAGTTTGAACAGGGGAAAATCAGACGAGTAGGCTGCCTTGAAGGAGGAAAAAATTTAAGGATGGAGATCATTGCAGCCTTGCTGAATGATCCTTGATCACATGACCTCTGAGGGGGGTGGAGACCCAGATGCCAATCTAATTGAATAGGTAGATAAAGAAAAGGACACAACTAGCCATTGAATTTGGCTAGCAATTTTGAATTTGCTTCAGGTCCACCAATGGGGCATAAAGAATGAGTCAACAGAAAGAGATGTAGATTAGGTCACTGAGATCCCCAGGAGCCCAGAGAGGTGCCTGCATGTTCACTAAGGCTAGAAGGCTCTTCGGAGGCCAGTTAGGGAAAGCTAGGTCAATTCTTAACCAAGAAACCAAAGAGCTAGCACAGGTCTTCCATGGGTCTCTAGCCCAAAAGCCTAGGTTATAGGGAAAACTAGGAAATATGGTACAGTACAAAGAACACTATATTTGGACTCAAAGGTCCTGGTTTGAAACCCTGTCTCTAACACTTATTTGTTGCATGAAGAAGGAGTTGGACTCTCAGATCTCTTTGAGCTAAAAAAAATTATGATCCTATTATCCTATGAACTTGTCATGCGACCCAAGATCTTTTTGAAGCATAAGAGCCATTTGTAATAACCTTTGTAGCTTCTCTTGAATACACCCCCTTCTCTCTTTTGGCACTGTCTCCACCCTGGTACAGGCCTTCATTTCCTCAAGCTTGGACTATTGTAATAGCCTCTGGTTTGTCTATCATCCTCAAGTCTCTCCCCACTCCGATCCATCCTCCATTCAGCCACTGAAGTGATTTTCCCTAAAGCAGAAGTCTGACCATGTCAACCCCTACTCAATAAACTCCAGGGGCTCCCAGTTTCCTCTAGGATCAAATACCAAATCCTCTGTTTGGCATTCAATGCCCCTCATAACCTAGCCCCTCTTATCTTTCCAATCTTCTTACATACTGTCTTCTTTGATGCAGTGATATCGGTCTCCCAGCTGTTCCATCAACAAAACACTCCATCTCTTGACTCTGGATATTTGCTCTGGCTGTTCCCCATGCCTGCAATCCTCTCCCTCCTCTGCTCTACCTGCTATATTCCTTAACCTTCTTCTAATCCCAACTAAAATCCCAGCTTCTACAGGAAGCCTTTTACAGCTCCCCTTAATTCTGGTGCCTTCCCTCTCATTTCCTATTTGTCCTGTATATAGCTTGTTGTACATATTTGTTTGTTATCTGCCCCTCTAGACTGTGAACTCCTTGAGGCCAAGGGCTGCCTTTTGCCTCTTTTTCTATCCCCGGTGCTATATCCACAGGATATTTGCAACATCCTTGAGATTTACTGTCAAAATAAGCTTGCTTCCTTTCCCTATTTTTTTTTTGGCTAGACAATGGGGTTAAGTGACTTCCCCAGAATCACACAGCTAGTAAGTGTCAAGTGTCTGAGGCCAGAATTGAACTCAGGTCCTCCTGTCTCCAGGGCCGGTGCTCTATCCACTGTGCTACCTCACTGCCCCTGCTATTATCTTTTATATACTGTAATATTTCTTGCTGTGTCCTTGTGGCTTTTATAGTAAAAACACAGCAAACAAAACAAAACAAAAGACAAAAACCTTTAAAAAATGGAAAAGCAGGGTTATATACTATTTACAGTGGGGAAAGAAAGAGAGGTTGGGGGAAAATACTTGTTTCTCTTCGTGCAACAAAGTCATGGAAGAACCTAGACTCAGAGAGAAGTGGGGGCAATGAGAAACCAGCAGAGGGAACCAAAGAGTCATGTCCTAAGTCTTGTTGGTGGAAGAAGAGTGGGGCAAGATGGCAGCCAACCAGTAACACTTCATTCTCTCAATAGTGTCTGTCCAGCTCACACCACCACCAGCAACCTTGGGCACACAGTGGTGAGCTCCTCTTGTGGCCTGTAGCACAGGAGTTCACCACCACAAAGAAAAAGAAAGTACTTTATTCCCATCGGACTCTGGAGTCAAGCTGAAAAGGCTGCTTAGAGGAAGCAGGAAGTGGACACGAACTTTGAGAAGGTCAGCTAGCATGCCTGCCTTTGTTGGAAACCTTCAAACCTAAATGTTTTCATATTTTCTAATTATACAGTGTCGGATTAAGAAAGTGAACATACTGATGCCCATCAAAACAAATAGCACCAAAAAGAAGATTCCCGCAGCTGAAAGGGCACAGGACAGAGTTACACTGGACAACTTTACCCCTCGTAGAGCTGGGGGATCCCCACATGTGGTCTCTTCGGGGTCTGAAATTTTATGTAGATTTTCCCTATACCATGTCAGAAAGTGAATATTGGAACAAGTACAATCTAGGGGATTGTGACTTAAATTAATAATGCTCTGCTGGGAAAAGACAGGTAGAAGATTAGGTGGAATGATACGTATACTATTGGCTGCCAGGTTGAGATGAGTTTCCTTGAGATCACTAAGAGCTGCCAAGCCTAAGCTGGTTAAGCTGTTGTGCTGCAGATCCAGGTACCTGAGTCTGCCGAGGCCTCCAAAGGCCTGCCGCTCCAGGGCTGTTAGGCCACAGGACGACAGAATAAGGACCTGTAAGCTGTCCACAGGATGGAGCAGATTGTCCTTTGTGAGGATCCCAGACTGAAAGGGATTGCCTCCCAGGTCTAGATACTGAAGGCCTTGCAGACCCACCAGGAGCTGAGGATTGCTGGTCTCAACAAGGCAGTTAGAGAGATTCAGGACCTGGAGGAGGTGGAGATTTTGGAAAGGACTTGGGGAAGCATCAGTATGAAGATGTGTGAAGGCAAAATCCAACACCTTCAGCTGAGGGCATTCTCCAAAAGCCTCGCCTTGGAGAGTTTGCGGCTCGTTATTACTCAAGTTCAGATGTTGCAGATGAGACAGGCTCCTCAGCTGAGCATTACAGCAGGTGTGTGAGACAACTTTACTGTGACTTAAATCTAGGTGCTGAAGGTTTTTGAGTTTTCCCAAACAGCCTGTGCCCAAGTCTAGCTTATGCATGTTGCCTTTAACATAAAGATGAGTCAGGGAGGGGAAGCTAGCAGCATTGATTTGGCACAAATTGTCAAATTCGTTTTGATTCAACACTAATTTCTTAAGCTGATTCATCCCTTCAATGTCAGAGGGCAAACTCTTCCAGTGAGTGTGGGTCAGATCCAGCTGGTGGAGTCCCATGAAGCATTGAAAGGTGCTGGCTGAGTTTGAGAAATGGTGGAACTGCATGTTGAGGGCTTTCACAGACATATTACACAGCCCCTCCAGCATGACTGGGCTTATATCTAGGTCATCTACATCTTGAAAGGACCCAAGCCAAAGAGTTTGAGTGGTGGAATTCTGCAGCCCCTTTAACACGGTAGAAACATCAAAGATCCCTCCAAAGTTCAAGCTTTGGAAGGTGGTGGAGTGGAAAGCCCCATCCTCAATGTCCTGAATGTTATTGCCTTTCAAGTTAAGGCTTAAATTGGTTGCCTGTTTCAAGGATGCTATGTCTTTCTTAGTGATGTGATGTATGGCGTTCAGTTCAAAGTCTAGGACTTTCAGGTTACGAGCAGAAAATGTTGAGGGGAGTTGGATGGATGAAAGATGATTACTACCAAGACGCAGAATTTCTAAGTTTTCCAAATTCTGCATTGGGATAAATGTAACACTGGTCATGCCTGTCTGTGTTAAGGTGAGACACTTCAGGGCCCTAGGACCCTGAAAAGCTGTGTCTGCCACAAATATCAGGGGATTTCCAGTCAGTACAAGGGTGCTGAGGTCATCATTGTTTTCAAAAGCATCTTCATGTACCCAGTTAATTTCACACCTTAAAAAGAAGGAAAAGGAGAACAGAACAATCAGTTAGAAGTAAATAAATAAACAAATGAATAGATAGACAGACAGACAGACAGACAGATAGATAGACAGACAGACAGACAGACAGACAGACAGACAGACAGATAGATAATAGATAGATAGATAGATAGATAGATAGATAGATGCAGAGGCACAGCCCATAGGACCATAGATCTAGAACTGGAAGGGACCTTAGAGGTCATTTAGTCCAAGCCTCTTATTTTATAAATGAAAAACTGAGGCCCAGAGACACTAAACAGCTCGCCCAATGTCACACAGAGAAGTGGCAGAGATAGGATTCAAACCCAGGTCCTGTGACTCCAAGTTCAACATTTCCATGCTATCATGTTTACCTCCCAGACTAAAACAGTCCTTTGGGTACATCCTGAAACCCGCCCTTCACACTGTTGCTCCCCTCACAGGGGCCGCCCTTCTGGACATTGCAAGTGGAAATGCTTCTCAAATGCCCTACCTTTCTACAGCCTATATTTGCTGGAGGGTTTTGGTTTGCCATCCAGAGGAGAGAAAATGCTGCAGCTACATGACAAAAAAGAGACTCGTCAGAGAATTCATTGAGGCTGATGTCTGATGCCAGTTGCTGCTGGAGCATCAAGTCAGTTGGTGATGCTTTTGTGCTTAAACAATGCTTAAAAGCAAATGTAAGACTCAATGAACCAGGGAGGCAGCCCCAAAAGCGATCCACTAGGTCTAGGATAAAAAAGGAAGGTCTGTGAGCCCAAAGGGAAAGGACCAGCCACACATGGGTGGAAAAGAACCTGCTGGGGCAGATGACAACAACTGAGATTTATATGGCCCTTTAAAGGTTGGAACCACTTTATTAGCATTTTCTCACTGAAGCTTCACAACAACATGTGAGCTAAGCACTGGAGGTATTATCATTATTATTCCCATTTTCAGATTCAATCCCTGAGGCTTAGAGAAAGTAAGGGATTAACCCATAGTCACACAGGTGGTAAGTAGTAGAAGTAGAATTTAACTCCTTTTTACTTCAGTTTCAGCACTCTTTGCACTAGACCACATAGTCTTTCTACAGAGACCTATCTGCAAATGGATGGGTCAGTTCTACCCCAGAGCAAAGGAATATTAACTGCCATTTCAAAGAAAATGAAATATCAATCTGTCAAGAAAGTACTATTAGTTTTATAGTCCTTTTATATTTGCATCACTAATAGCTCTTTTTCCAAGTGTGATGATATTTTAATTGAACCACCAAAGTAGTTATCTTCCTTTAGATTTCATTATTTTACTTATTCTGCTTATCAATACACTCCCATCATATGACTTCAGGCCATTTTCTCTGGCGGTCCCCCATGCCTAGAATGCTATTCCTCCTTCTCTCAGCCTCCTGGCTTCCCCGGCTTCCAGAAAGCCCCAGCTAAAATTCCAACTTTTATAGGAAGCCTTTCCCAGCCCCTCTTTATTCTAGTGTCTTTCCTCTGTTGATTATTTCCAATTTATGCTACAAGCAACACATCTGTGCCCTCTTGTTTGCATATTGTCTCACCCATTGGATTGTAAGTGCCTTTAGAGCAGGGACTGTCTTTTGCTTTTCTTTGTATTCCCAGCATTTGGCAGGTACTTAATAAATATTTGCTGACTGATTATCATACTTAGAGTTACCATTTCTATTACCTATATGTATGATAAGCAGAATAAACAAAACAAGGAAACCCAGAGGAAGAGCTTCAGTAGCTGTGAGTTAGAAATCCAAAGAAAGACAACGTACTAGTTTCTACTTGGAAAAGATTTGATTTCTCCTGCTTATTTGGAAGTAGAATAACTACTATTCCCAATCTGAACAGCCAAGAGCAGTTCCCTCTGCTTGACCAGGGTCCATTGGACCTTTGTGCAGATAAACACTTTCCTGCAAAAGGATGCACTGGGCCCAGGTATCATTTCTGGGTTTGGGGAGGGTCAACATTAACAAGCTAACACTTGTGTTGTCTGTAGTTCTCTGGGTAGCTACAGCAGATCTTCTAGCATGGGCCACTTAGCACCAGGGCACAGTCATAATTTTTTATAGTTCTTGGTGCCAAATCTACATAATCCTTTTTCTTTATAGAATGTTGGTTGCTTGGTTGTTGTCCTTCTTACTCAAAGCAGACCAAAATGACATCACCATGTCAGGTGAAGGGTGAAGTGTGTCCGACTATGGCCGATCAGACCTCTATGACCTCTGAAGGCTCTACCGTAAGTTAGGCATAAATGGTCTGTACATAACATTTGGAATGGAAATGTCTCTAAATTTGTGCATCTCATGTTTCTTTTAAGCTATTGCAATTCTGATTTGCTCATAGGGCCCGGTGCCTGCTTTGCTGTGGGCATGCTATGCTGGGCAGTCCTGTGCCACTGTCTGCCATATCTTCCATTACAGAGTGTTAGAGCCAGAAGGGACCTTAGAAATCATCTTGTCCAATACCCTCCTTTTATAGAAAAGGGAACTGAGGCTCCTATGACTCGCTCAAAGTCACATAATGAATAGGTGGCAGAATCTGAACCAGGATCCTTTTTCTCCAACCAAAATCCAGGGTGCTTTTCATTACTCCCAGCTCCCTCCTTCCATACCCCACTGTCTCCCTCCTTGTGCAGCTTGATGCACCAGTCAGTGCTTAACAGGAGTTCTTTAATGATGAAGATGAAAGTGACACCCACTTTTTAAACCCCTGGTCAGAATGGGTCAGTCCTAGCACCAGGAAAGAATACCAGACGTGATAACCAGGACATGTCCAGGTTTGAATCTGGCTTCTGAAGCTTCCAGCTGTGTGAATCTGGACAAATCACTTAACCTCTTTGATCTCTAATTTCTTCATTTGTAAAAGGGAACATTCTACTTGTTCAGTAGGGTTATTGTGAGGAGAAAGTATCCTACTAGTATGTCAAATACCTTGTAAACCACAAAGGGACACAGAAATATAAGTTGTTGGTAATACTGTCTTTGCAAATTCCATGGATTTAGGCAGAAAGTACAGGAAATTTATAGCAAATTTCAAGAGTAATCCCAGAGAGTGGGTTTTTTTTTTTTGCCACTTTCTTCCTGTAGGAAAGGTCCATAAGAGAGCCTGGGGGAAGGTGGAAAAAAAGGCTGGAGAAGGACACCCAAACCCGTGATGTCAAACTCAAATAGAAATAGGGGTCACTAATGCACCCATAAGGATCCCTGCAGTTTGCGTGTTAGAAAACCACCTATTAACATTGTCTATGTTCTACTTATTTATTTTGTTCAATATTTCCCAATTACATTTTAATCTGATTGGGCTGCACTTGAGTTGCTGCCACTTATTTGACACTTCTAACTAGACTAAGAGTCAGAAGACCTGGATTCTAAACTGAATTCAAACAATATTTTCTTAATGACTTTGGGCAAGTTCTTTCATTTCTTTGGCTCTCAGTTTTTCTATGTATAAAAATGACAATAATATAATAATAATAATAATAATAATAATAATAATAATAATAATAATAATGATAATATCTGCCCTTTAGGAGCTATTATGAAAGTAATGTAGCATAGCCAAAATGAGTGCTGGATTTGTAATCTCTGGACCTGCATTCAAATCTTGATTCAGCCACTTGTCTATACAACCTGTCTATGCAACTGTGGGTTTTAATCTCTCTGAAGTTCAGTTTCCTTAAATGTCAAATGATAGAAGTTGGCAAAACTAAATGTCACATAATTATGATAACCAAGCCTAACCCTGGAGAAGAGTTGAAAAAAAGGTACCTTTATCCTTTCATCGCAGAATTGGGGAATTATGGGTATAAAATATGACATATCCTATCAGATGTGATGAATGTATTCATTAGTTTTGCAAGACTGCTTTTTTCCTTCTTTTAAAATCTTTGTTATAAGGGATAGATAAGAAAGGGGAAAGGAAAGTGTGTGTGTACGAGGGGCGTCTGTGAAAACAAACACACACACATATATATATATATATATATATATATATAATATATATATATATATATCCACAAAGGTGATATAAAATTAAGATATCTTTTAATATAAGATTAATTTTCTTTTGTCAGAAACAGGCAAGATTCTTTGAGAGTGTTTCAGCAGAAGGCTGGTTTGTTAGGGATGCTGTTGTAGAAGGACGTCTTTCATTCCTGTCAGGTGTCAGCAGACCAGTATAAACACATGCATTACTGTTATTTTTATTTTTTTAAATGAGAAGATTGCACTATATGGCTTCTAAGGTCCCTTCTAAGTCTAAATCTATGGTCCTATGATAAAGTTAGTTAATGTGAACACTACTTTGAAAATTATGAAACTCCATGGGAGATGACCCTAGGGACTGGGAAGGGGTAGAGGGAGGTATCCCCTTTCTTGTGGAGGCTTAAACTTTTCCTTGTACAGGGTCCCAGGAGCAAAAGCTCTGCCATGGGTCAGGACAGCATCTAATGCGAGCAGGAGGAATGGGAGCCACCAAATGGTGATTTAAAATGGCATTGTCAAAATAAAATAGAAATGGATCATTGCTGGCTGCATGTAGTCTTAGAAGATGGCAAGTTAACACCGTCTATGCTGTATTGTGTTTTTATTTATTTCGTTAAACATTTCCCAATTACTCTTTAGTATTGTTCAGACCACAGTCTGGACTAGTCTGAGAGTCTGACACTTCTGCTGGACCTGAGGTGATCACCACCATTTTTATGACATCTCTTCCTTTCCCCTCTGCTTCAGACATTTTACTGTCTACTTCTGGCCTTTGCAATAGCTCTCATCAAGGTACGTTTGGTTCTATATAACCCGATTTCATCTAGCTAGTAATAAAATACCTTGCATTTATATAATGCTTTAAGGTTGCAAAATGCTGTGTGTGTGTGTGTGTGTGTGTGTGTGTGTGTGTGTGTGTATGTATCTTATTTGAATCTCACAATAACCCTTTGAGGCAGCTGCTTTCATTATCTCTACTTTACAGATATGGAAAACTGAGGCTGAGAGAGGGTAAACCCAATAGCTTATATCTAGTAAGCATCAGAAGTAGAATTTGAACTCAAGCCTTGCTGACTCTAGTTCTAACAATCTATCCACTACAGCACCTAGAATGTTGGAACCTGCTGAGGGACACGGTGTGTTTTTCTCCTCCTAAGAGATCTTCATGTCTGGGTACCAGATATAGGGCATGGAGATTTTTTCCCCTAAGCCTGTGATTTCATCAGTTTGGTTGGTCTAAACAGCCCCTCAATTGATGAATATCAGTCAGTTATCTGATAATCTTTAAAAGTTGTCCGGGTATTGGGGCAGCTAGGTGGTGCAGTGGATAGAGCACCAGCCCTGAAGTCAGGAGGACCTGAGTTCAAATCTGGCCTCAGACCAAACACTTGACACTTACTAGCTGTGTGGCCCTGGGCAAGTCACTTAACCCCAATTGCCTAAAAAAAAAAAAGAAAGAAAGAAAGAAAAAAAAAGTTGCCTGGGTAGCTAGGTGGTGCAGTGAATAGAGTGGCAGGCCTGGAGTCAGGAAGACTCATCTAGCCTCAGACTAGACACTTACTAGCTGTGTGTTCCTAGGCAAGTCACTTAACCCTGTTAGCCATAGTTTCCTCATCTGTAAAATGAGCTGGAGGAAAAAAAATGGCAAACCACTCCAGTGTCTCTGTCAAGAAAACCCCAAATGGGGTCACAAAGAGTCAGGCATGACCTAAATGACCAAACAAAAGCAATGGTTGCCTAGGGCACTGAGAGTGACTTACCTAAGGTCACACAGCTAGCATTTGCAAGAGGCGGGACTGGAACACAGATCACACTGACTCCAGTGCTGGCTGTGTAGCTGCTTCCCTATGCTGCCTCTCAAGGCATATAATCCCTCCAGGGAAAATGTCTATTTACCTGGTTAAATCTAAGTAGACCAAGTCTCTGAGTCTGCTGAAGGCTGAGTTTTGTAGGTCAGGCAGAAAGTTAAAACCGAACTCAAGAAATTTCGTTGTGGCTGGAAGACTTTCAGGAATCTCTTCAAGTCCTAGGTTTTCACAGTTGTAGGTGAGGTTGGTTGTAACCTGTTGGAAGGAACAAAAGATCTCAAGGCTCGACCACGGCATCTTTGAATCAGGAGGATGAGAAGGGCCATTCACATTCAGCCAAGGCTACATTGACAATTGAGGGATTAATCATAACACCACAGATCTAGAGGAAAAAGAGAACTCAGTGACCATCTAGTTCAACCCCTTCATTTTACAGATGAGAAAGTTAAGGTCAGTTTCACTGAGAACCATCCCCTTATTACATGAATCATATGTTTAAGTCCCAGACATAACAGAAATAGAACAGCTCTGTAAACTCATGTATGTACTTTAAGCACTAATAACAATGTACATACCTTCCCCAGCTAATGTGTTTTGTGACCACAATGGTCCATGTTCTACTAATGCTTTTGAACCTTGGAGTCCTCATTCTCTCTCACCACCATCTCTAATCTTCCCAAGTTTTGTCAATTCTATCTGCTTAACAACCCTTGTGGATGTTTCCTTCTTGCTACTTGGAGGCCAATACTCTAGTTCAGGCCTTTATCACATCTCGTGTAGACTTTCACAAACAGCTTTTAATTTGTCTCCTTTGTAATCCAATCTCTCCTCCATGTAGCTTCCAAATGGCAATTCCTAAAGCAAAGACATAACCACTTCACTCTCCCACTAAAAAATCTTCAGTGGTTGCCAATACCTTGATAAAATACAAATAAATATAAAGTAAATAACATAATAAATAAAAACATTTGGACAAAATACAAACTCTGTTGGTATTTAAAATGCTTACAGTCTGGCTCCTGGGCAGCTAGGTGGGTGCCATAGTGCACAAAGCGCTGGGCCTGGAGTCAAGAAGACTCATCTTCCTGAGTTCAAATCTAGCCTCAGACATGTACTAGCTTTGTGACCCTGGTCAAGTCACTTAACCTTCTTTGACTCAGTTTTCTCATCTGTCCAATGAGCTGGAGAAGGAAAGGCAAACCACTCTAGTAGCTTTGCCAAGAAAACCTGAAATGGAGTTACAAAGAGTCAGACATGACTGAAACAGCTGAACAACAGCAAAGAAGTCAGAAAGACCTGGATTCAAGTTTCACTTCTGGCACATCATGGCTCTATGATTCCAGACAAGTCATTAACCTCCCAATGCCCCCAGGTAGAACTAACTCTCTAAAGTACAAATTGCACAATTGCTATTGTGCATTGATGAAGGAGTCTTCCCACATAGGAACTGAAATCACAGATTCAAACCCCCCCCCCAATTTAAAGAGAGATTGAAGTAGAGGAAGAATGTTTCTGGTTCAGAGGCTTTGTGCTAATCTGATTAGAACTTTTCACAAGACTGGCCTCAGCCCATTCAGTGAGGCCCAGTGAACACTGACCTCAGTGGAACACCTGTCTAGCCTGTCCTATGCCTTGAGGGCTTGGAGGGGATGGTCCAGCCTTTGAGCCAGAGACCACAGTATGACAAAATTAGGTCCCCATGACCGGCAGAGCAGAGGATCAGTGCAAATGTGGGATCGTAAGGCTAGGCACAAGTGGGACAGTTCACCTGCAGGGAGAAGAGGCAGAGAAAGAGTGCGTAAGACAGACAGCCCAGGAAGCCCTTTTCAGATCAGAGGCAAGCAGCTGATGCAAAGGATTCAAAGGAGGCAACCCAAGATACAGGCTACAGTGGAGGCTGGCCAGGCTCCTGCCAGAAGGGAGACCAGCTGCTCCAGGGAGAGAGATGGAGGGTGGGTTGGAGAACAAGCATTTATTTATTTATTGACTTACTCCTTATTTATTTATTCATTTATTTATTTGCTTATTTGTTTGTTTGTTTATTCATTTATTTATTTTTAGGCAATTGGGGTTAAGTGACTTGCCCAGGGTCACACAGCTAGTAAGTGTCAAGTGTTTGGTCTGAGACTGGATTTGAACTCAGGTCCTCCTGACTTCAGGGCTGTTGCTTTATCCACTGCACCACCTAACTACCCCCACAAGCATTTATTAAGCTCCTGTTTTGTGCCAGGCACCTCACAAATATCTCCTTTGATTCTTACAACCACCTTGGTAAGGAGGTGTTATTATTATCATCCCCATTTTACAGTTGAGGAAACTGAGGCAAACAGAAGTCAAATAACTTGTCCAGGTCACACAGCTGATAATTGTCTAAGGCTAGGATCGAGCTCAGGTTTTCCTGACTTGAAGCCCATCTGTTCTATCATCTGCACTGCTTCTGCTCTGGGGACAGCAGAGAGCTGGACCTGGAGTCAGAAGCCTGGATTTAAATCTTGTCTTGCTAGTTACCATTTTTTTTTAAAACTTTGGGCAAGCCCTTCGTCCCTCTCCTTACCTCCTGGGCAAGCCTCCTTTACTTCAGTTATGTAAAATGAAGAAATAGCTGACCTTAGAGGACCCTCCAGTTCTAAATCTCTGTGCCTGTGGTAGCAGAGGATAATTGATGAGTATGGACCAAAGTTCAGACAGCAACTGTTTTCAGGAAATGGTGTCAGGGATGGGTTTCTTTTTCATCTGTGTGACCATTGCTTAGCACAGTGTCCTGCACAGAACTGGAATGTAATAAATGCTTGTTGAGTTAGATTCTTAGAAATAGTGGATACTAAAATGAGGCTAGTTCATTCTTTGGGGAAGGCCTCACTGACCTTCCCTCTCTTCTCTTCCCCTCCCTTGAGCTTCTGCCCCCTCAGTAGCTAGGGTGATTACACAGGATTTCTAGGCCAGCAGACAAATTTTATCATATGGACTTATCATTCTTAAGGATCTCATGGAAAGGCCAGCAGACTACTTCTGTTTACACACAACACACACACACACACACACACACACACACACACAGAGAATATGAACATTTATCAACCAGACACCATCCTTTTAGTGATACAAAGTCCATCCTTCTCAAATTAGCCTCAATATCAATATCAGTACCGAAACCCATAATACAGCAAATAGCAGTACTTCCATTTTCCTCTCCCTCCTCTTCCTTCACCCACTCTCCTCCCTCTCAATCTCCCCTCCTTCTATCCTCTCAGCTCTAATTTTCCTCCCCTTCTCTTTATTCCTTCCTTTCCCCTCCCTTTTTTCCCCATCTTTCCCCTCCCCCTTTCTGTTATTCTCCCCCCCCCTCCATTTTTTCCCTTCTTTTCCCCTGAGTTGCAGCTGGTAGAGGCAAGAGGTAAGAAGGTAACTCTGACTCACCCCACCCCATCCCCCACAGAGCCTGCCTGGGCCAGATAATGACTTGCTCCAGCTTCCTGTTCCCCTGGGCTCAAAATCAGCATTTCCCTCATGAAAATCTTGAGATTACCCATGCCTCCAATGTATGACCTTTACTGAAGAGACCAGGCCTGCCATGCTAATTGCCTCATAGTATAACTCACTCATAGGGATTACTGCTGATCTGGGCAACTTTACAATGGGAAGTATGAGTAAACTCACAGAAGGGAAATCAGATTTTCCTCTTAATCATATGGATGAGATGGAAGCATTATAACTGTCGCTAATGAAAATTGTCTATTTATATCTGTTTGTAATTCATTCATCGTCTTGCATAAACCTCAATCCTTTGGGGACCTCTACAAATTCTCACTATGTTTTTGAAATGCACACTTTGCATTGCAAACTCTGATTTGGCTGAGCGAGTGCTGGGGGGCAACCCACATGGGCAGCAGCTCCCAGGTGCCAGCCCCTGTATGCAGCAGGAGCCCCATAGCTACCACTGCACAGCTGCCGTCTCATCTGGGCTGCCCTGGTTTCCCCTCTCCCTCACCCCATCAGGGGTGCTCCGGGGCCCTCACTCTGCTACCTCAGCTGGAGCACTGATGCCGTGATTCACAGGAGTAAGAAAGGATATGGCAGAATTTGTCTGGCTCCATTATGAGCTTGCCACTTTAGGGCAGCAACAATTTCCTTCTCCTCTAGAATTTGCAAGGCCCCCAGGGCCTAAATAACTCCAGACCTAATCCTTCCCAGAGCCACACTAAGTTCTTTACCTCACTAATGGGATCCAGAGAGAGCAGCCGGGAAGGAGTGCCCAGCTCTCCAACAGGGCTCAACCAGAGGCCTGGGTGCACCCTTGAGGCCGTGGCCACAAAGCCAAGGGAAGAGAAGCCCCCTCCATATCCAGCTTGCGAAGAAGGCAGGTCAGACTCAGCTTCTCAAGGACATTAGATTTTAGGGCAATGGGGAATAACAAGAAGTACACTGGATTCTGCAACTGTACGAAATACAATCCAATTAACCGCAAAATAGCACAATTTAGCAGGTTGTATTTCCCTTGCACTCATTTTTTAAAAGAAGAAAAAGACAAATCACAAGATCAACTACGGTGTCCTAGAACTAGAATTGGACAGGCCCTAAGACCATCTAGTCTAAAACCATCATTTTATAGATGAGGAAATGAACCAGGTGAGTTAAGTGATTTGCCAAGGTCACCATAGCACCACCTTGGGATCATCAAAGTCATCTAACCTGACTCTCTCATTATAAAATAACTTGCCCAAAGTCACTCAGGGAGTAAGAAGGATAGCCAGTATCAGAACCCACTTCTTCTGACTCCGAATCCAATTTGTAGGCCAATACCCCACTAGGGTCCCCCAGTGGGCTAAGGACAGGAATAGTCAAAGTCTAAAACAATACACCTAAGAGAATGCCCCTTCAACATGATGTAGGAGAACAAATATTGGACTTCTAGTCACTAGATCTGGACTCGAGTCCTATCTTGTCTCCTGTAGCTACTGACTACGTGGTTCTGGATGGATATGACACTCAATCTGCCTCAACCTCAGTGTCCTCATCCGTAAAATAATAACAATACTTGCTCTTCCAACCTCAAAGAAAGAAGTGCTTTGTCGGCTCTAAGGCATTTTATAAACAAAAACTAATGAGTCTATATTTTGAATGCTGGACAATCATAATTAGTTATAATTAACTCTAAATGATATTCATAATGATTAGCCACTACAAATTCTGAATTATCAAAAAGATCCCTCGTTAAATGATGGCCATTCTCCTGTTGTTATTACAGGAGGAAAACA